TATATGTATATATATATATATATATATATATATATATATAAGTGTGTGTGTGTGATTGAATGAGATATTATGTGGTACGTATACTTGATGGGTGCCAATTACCGAAAACTGGTCGTGCGCTTCGGGGGAAATCACATTCAGTCATTCAGTTACTACTTATATCATCATATCTGTCACATAATAATGCATGAATGACACCATTGGGATGTGTTGTGCTCTGCTTATCTGTGACATGTCTCACTCATGTTTATTTCCAATATGCTACGCAGAAATTTGGGTGGCCTAGTTGCGGGACAATAAAGATTAAGAATGGTTCATCTAATCCTGTAATTGCCTCTCCAAACTTTATCGTTGTTCAGTAACAGCCGTTTGATGATATTTAATTTTTTAACATTATGTAGGTTCACCAATAGACTAATCGGTATGTCATAAGGCCGCAGTCATGTGGATCGATCCTTGAACAGACCTATGGAATCCAGTTAGCTTCACATTCACCAATGTGCCTAGTGCCAGACGGTCCTGTCAATTGGCAAAGGCATGAACAATAATTTATAATTTGCAAGCAGTCTGTCAATAAGTTTGTGTGCCACATCGTTGATATTCGATGTGACATCTAATTAGAGTAGCGTTTTACTGCTCACGATTTACATGAACTGTTGGAATGGGCCAATACTAGTTTGCCGGAAAAGAAGTACCACGCAACCGCCATGGACATGTGAGTACAGAGGAGACAAACTGTACAAGGAGAATGACAATTGTGCACATGCAATGGATATTTTGCATTAAAACGTGAACTATACTTAAACAAGAAAATTCTAAGGGAGGATTATTGTCATCTTCAATCAAATGTTGTCCAACATAGTATGGTTCCTCTACATTCTATTTTGAATTACGTTTGTTCTTCGTTCGGCTATCACAGACATTATGCAGAAATGCAAACATTTTATTCGGGTTAGTGTTTTGCATTAACCAATCGATTTAGCTACAGTTTGGTTAGGCTTATAAAGTTTGGCAAAGTTTGGGTAATCAGTGCATAAAACTTATTGAAACCAGTTGATCCCTTTTCTATAGAATCAACCTTGACGATCAGACTAACAATATCCATCAACCAGTGCCGACATTGTAAACATTGATTCCATATTGGGTCACCAACACTTGGGGCACTGGTGGGATCCCAACTGTAACCCGTTGTACTGGATTTGGGATTAGGACGCAACAACTAACAAAACTTGAGCTGTTCACGCGCACTAGCAGTTAGAGAGTGCTGGAACATAGCAGCTTCGCGCCATG